AGTAATAGGTGCTTGTTGTCAACTTTGATAAGAGGCATTTGAAAGGAATGCCAAATGTATTGTGAAAGATTGGAGCACAGCAGCTTTTCTATGTCCCTAAAAGAGTGGAAACCAAACTTAGGGGAGCACACAACTACAGAACAGACCTGTTCTATATCGTGCCTTCTTTTGAAATCATCAGAATTGTAGTTAATGTTTCAACCCTAAGCTATAGACATTGACAGCACAGTGGGAACAATCCTCTATCTTTAACTTAAATTTTTTAAACCAAAATATTCACTACTTTTAAATTCTTGCATTTTCTTCATAGCATTAAAAAAAAAAAACAAACAACATCTTAGGCTTGGCTTATTTTATAGAAATAGTTTTAGATATCTTGTTTAAGAGGTCCTGCAGGGTGTCCCAAAACCTATACTTGATGGCAAGAATAAACATTCATTAAACTTCAAAGGCTGCCAAAAAGTCTAGTTATTTTTATTTAGGGGAATAATTTAAATTAATCCTTCAGCTTGTGTATAAAATATGTAATGTAATCCATTTCTCTGTTTCCAGCTTCAAGTCACACAGGAAAAAAAGTACTGCTTTACTAATGTTTTCTGTTTTGAAAAACTGGGGAAAAAATAAGACTTCATATATTTTTGAAGAATTCTGTCTTAGTGACGCTAAGAAACAAATATTATAATACACAACTGTGTACTTACATCTCTGTGTAACTGCTGCTAAACCTACACACACAATGGAGTTCTTCAGTGGGAGCAGTAAAACCAGATTTTATATTTGTGTGTGTGTGTGTGTGTGTATATCTGTAATTTTTTTTTTAACAAAAACTTAAATTTTTTTGAATGGTTTTCTGCCTTACCACCCCAACTCAGCTGAGTGCTGCTGTGCTACAGAAAACTCACAGTCACCTTTGTAGCAGATCTTTTTTTGCTGAGGCCGTCTTAAAATTTGGGAGAAACCTTAGTACGATGAAGAGCTTGGTTTAAAATTATTTTTTCCTTTAAAATGAATACACTCTTCATCTGAAAGAAGCATGTAGAGAGTACTGTGTCAGATGCACAGAGGAAAAAATAAAAGGAGGGAGAAGCTCAGCTATTGTAAATCACTCTAATGCCACTGAGGCCAATTTAGACTAGCTGAGGTTGTAGCCTAATATTTGTGCTGAAATGTTGCAGCTATAGCTGTATCCCTGAGCTGTATAAATATTTGTTGAAAGCTGACTGTTAGGGTGCAAGGGGTGGATTGCTCATCAGCAAATAGTGAGGCCCTTGTCTTTTCACCTTTCTTAAGGAAACCTTCTCCTTTTGAGGGCTGGGAATTTTGACTGGGTACATGTATGATCCTTCTTGCTTTGTGCATGAGTTATTCCGTGTGCAGTGGAACAGGAATTTCCATCTGGACTTTTGAACTTGCACTCGCCTGAGTGTCCAGCCCTGATTCATGCCATGCACTGTACATGAATGACCAGCAATGTTTACAAAATGAATTAGCTTGACTCCAACTCTCCAGCCAGAAAGTAATCAAAGTGAAGAGCCAAGCTATTTCTGAAATTCCAGCTTCCCTAGTTAGTAACTGCATTCTCTGTCTCGCTAGTCAGGGTATTAATGTAAAATGTACATGTTCTATACTGGAGGACAATTAATAACAGCAGTGATTCTGAGCAGTCGACAGACATTAACTATTCCACCCCCAAACTGCTCCTGTGTGCTGGGCAAGTCTGACTGCAGCACATGGTACAGAGAAAAAAAAAGTGAAAATAGCTATATCAGGAAGTGATTATTCTATGAGTTTTAGTATGTAATCTTTCATTCTTTCTTCTCTCATATTAAATTCCAGTTAACAATTTTATTTCACTTCTTTTGAATGAATACATGCACTCATTGACATATGCAGGAATCTTCTTATGCAAATATTTTTAGTAGGGCTACTCATAACTGGTATCCCCAAAATCTTGAAAGCTTTGATTTCTCTTCTTGTCAACCATCCCAATTTAAGCATTTAGGAACCGCAGAACTATCTTCAGAATAATCTCATCCTATAAAATACATCAGCCTTTGCTAAATTTAATATTATTATGGAAGAAGACAAAGTTGCCTGATACATTTTGTTTGGGATGGTCTGAAACTCAAAATGTATCATTGAAATTTCCCTCTGAAAACAAGCCCCCTGATCTGAAAAACCCACACCATAGAAAGCTGGAGATGTCTCAGAGCCAAAAAGCTGGAGATGTCTCAGAGCCAAATTGTCTGCTCCTGTAAATGGTCAGAGCTCCACAGAAGGGGGATATGAAATAAGGCTCGTCTGATTTTACAGCAGAGCATCTGAAGCACTTCTCCTGCCCTAGCCAATTTAAAGCAAAATTAAAAGAAAAATAAACCCCAATTAGCATGTGAGCTCTTCACTGGCAAATTGGCATAACTCCACTGGATATCTGACTTAGGCAGAGTTATCAGGACTTACCACCAAGAAGATCTGGGCCAGGGTATTTTAATGGTGATTTCATGTGGGTGGGTGAGAGCCCAATTCTTCATCCTTATTCAGGCTGAAAACCAGGAATGCACTACAGAGCTATAGATCAGCTGAGAAATTGATTGTTTGCAGGGAGGGAGGCTAAAGTGGCTCAGTTATTCCAAAATTAGCAACTGCTAATGTGTATATAGGAGTGTATAGCTCAGGCCAAATGACAAGTGAATGCTGCCCAATAGCTCCCCATCTATATCATACCTGCATCTAGACCCTGATTACTTTTATTTCCAGAATAAACTAGCAAATACAGGACTGATAAATGAAACATTTCTGAATAAGATAGCTTGGCAGGATATCTTTAATATTACCTAAAAAAACAGAGGTTAATAAATAGTTAAATTTAGCTGTAGCTTGTCTTAAGTAGTTTGAACATAAGTCAATATTTTCGTCTTTTGTTGTCTCAGGGCTTCTACAGGAGCAGAGAGAATTTCATCAATGATTTCTCTACACTTTATAGCATTATGCCTTTGTACTATTATCCATCTGTACCCTTATCTAACATGTTATCAACTGTATGAAAATAACCAGCAGTCCCTTCAGCCCACAGCAAGTATCAATAGGAAGAATGACAGTGGCTAGTTTGCACACTTGAAATGGTTTATTTGTTGCAATCCTGTGCACAAGATGTTTATCAGTAAGCACCAGACAGCCATGCAGAAGAAGGAGCCTTAATTCTGTCTGAGACAGCCTCTTATTGCTATTGATAGTTAGCATCAGTGTCCAGTCTGAGAAATGGAAGTGCTGCAGGCAACTTCAGTCAAGACACCCTATTGATCTACTGCTTCCTCTGCGTCCCTGAAGCTAGAGAAGAAAAATAAAAGGGGAGGAAAAGCTCGCTGTGTAAGGGGCAATGCAGCAGTCTATGTCTTGCCATCATTCAAAGGGGTGTGTATGTGCATGGATATTCCTGATATTCAGTACCTTAGACAACTGTAAATCACACGCACAGCCATGATAAATATAAATGTCAATGTGTTGGAAATGTCCTTTATATAAGAGGTGTCACTAGAACTACATTTTTAGCATGAAACATTTTTTCTGCTTTTTATTTTTCATTGACTTATTGTGCTTCTGTTATATCCTGTCTAACACAATCAATCTAAAGCATAATATCTGAGAGTCCTATTCATAAATAATACATATTTGGGTCATTTTCATTTGTATCCTACAATGAAGATTTACAAGCCAGAAACAAAACAAGAAACAATGTGTGGAATGCTCTTATTCAGTGGATAAGAATATATTACTGTGATCAATTAATCTGCTTTTCTCTGCATTAGGTGGACATCTTTATGGTGCATCCATAAGGGTTTATAACTTGGGAGAGACAGAATCAGCTCTAAGGCTCTAACATAAAATGCCTCTACTCAGAAAAAAGAAACTTTTCCAAAGTTTTTGCTTGGTCGAGGCTTTTTTCCCCCTCCATCATTGTTGTTCTTGTTGTTTTCCAGTGTGTTAATTTTGGCAAACTGAACACAGCAATATCCATCAACATAGAACGGTGCTCTGCCCTACATTCTACCTCTCACATTAAATGAAACAAAAAATTTGCTACAATAATTCTGAGGATTTTCATAGTGCTTTTCATCCTAAGAGAGTCCCATTTTACTACAAACCACACAATTCATTCTACAGGATGGAAGACTGACACACAAAAAGGTCCCAGCTCAGTTTTTAGGGCCAAAAATTGCTAGGCAAAATTAATTAAAAAGAAATAAAATCTGTGCACAGAAATTGCAGGAACAGGAGAGCTGAAAGGCAGACTCCAACTGGCACTGGTTTGCAGTACAAGAACCTGCAGCCCCCGGTGCAGGAGGGCTGGGACTGATCTTGGGCCATGGCAGAGGAGCAGCACTAATGGCCTGGATGATTATCAATTCTACCTGCACAGAAAGGAGCAAAAGCAGTGAGTTAAAATCAGCCAGAGCTACTTTAGGAAGCAAAGTCAGAACATACAAGGACTTTGCAAGCAGTGTAAACCTTTGGGGAAAAGCAGGGGTGAGTGGTGGGAATGAGGACAAGGCTGGTGGCTGCCACAGTCCCCCTTTGCCTTGGAGGTGCGGACCAGGCTCTGCTCAGACTCTGTGCCTCAGAGTGGGTTATTGCAGGCGTTTTTCAAATCTGGAAATTTGCTACAAGTGCATCTCAGATAAAAATTGAAATGAGTTTTGCAACTATGGCAAAAAGCAATTTTACATTTCATAGACCTTTTAAAACCCTTTTCAATAGAAAATAAAAATAACAGTAAGGGGAAAAAAAGGCTACATTTCCATTCCCGTTTTTATAGTTTGACGTTGCAGATGTTTCTGGGTCAGAGGTGAACATGTCTTTAGGTGTCAAAAGATGCAATAACCTGAGTCAAAAATGGCTCAGTCCCCAGAACCGTGACTGTGTGCCAGAATATCCCCACCTCAGAAGCTTGCTGGCAGCAATGTGCTCCAGGTGTCTTACACTATGCAGACCTGGTAGTCATTTTAATATTTTCCATGCTCATGTAAATGGACTTGATGTGTGTTCATCAAATGTGGGAAAATCCCACAGAATTGTGTGCCATCTGTTTATAGGTAAAAAGTCTGCTTTGCTGACAATCCAATGCAAAATCAGAACACAGAATGAAAGCAAGCACGCTTTTGTTTTGCTCTGGTTTGGTTTTATAAATCTGAGGCTTAACGTCATATTAAAAACCTAACAAAGTTCAAAGGTTCATTCTGTTTGGATAGCAGTACTGTCCTTCTCAGATGTGTGGATATTACCTGAGCTACACGGAGCCCTTAAATCTGCACGTGGCTACAACTTGCAACCTAATGAAACCCTGAGCACAGCCAGGAGTCAGCAGGACCTGGGGAGGGTGCAAGGGCCAGCTTGGACAGCTGGGTGTCTGCACTGGTGCCCTGAACTAGGAGCCTCTGGGAAACACTAGCTGACAGCACTTCAACACTAGTGGATGGCCTCAAGTGAGAAACTCAAGCTGAAGCAAAAATGAAAAGGTTCATTTTGAAAAAGCACCACCTTATTTTATTTAACACCCAATACTGCATTTGGTTTTTTGTTAGAATTAAAGCCAGGTTCAATTCAATTAATACGGTAGATGCCAATCAAAGTGTCCATCTTTATTATTTTGGTATGTTTTAAACAAGTTCATTGGACAAAAGGCAGTTATGTCTCAGCTATGACATTAAAGGAAGGCTGTGGTCACAGAGAGTTTCAACATCAGTTTATAGACATTGACTGGTGATCAGAAGAGGAATTCGGGACCTTTCTTGTCCTTTTACACTCCATGTGGAACACTTGCTTATGCTTTTCTACAGAGAACTGATAACCAGACCTGGGAAATTTATACCTGAATATGAGTCAGATGTTAGAAGATGATGTCAAAGTGTTTCAAAAGAGTATTTTCATTACACTTACTATGGAGTGAGTGAGTCCTGGGTGAAAGAAGAGCTAATGCAGCTGGCAGAGGAGAAAAACATCAGAGGAAAATAAACTGATCAAACTGATCAAATCCAGACATATTCAATCTAAAATCTCAAATGGGATTCAAGGCATGCTAGAAGGATGCTTCAATATCAAATGCTGTTAAACCATCCTGAGAAGAAGACAAAACAAAATCTCTGTAGAGAGATGCTCTGGATGCTCACTCAGCAAGGTAGGTCAGTGTTATCTGCACTGAGATAGGCTCTGCTGCTTTTCACTGGCTTAACCCTGCCCCTACCAGCCCCAAACAGATATTTTAACCTTGCCACCAGCATTGTACTGAGGTGTAGAAGCTGAGAAACAGAGCTTGAAAGTGCCTGTGGTCAGCTAATTGGGAAAACAATCAGTTCTTCACAGTATAATCTACCCTGTTTGCCAAAAGAGACAAGTTTTATATGTTCAATCAAAAAAGTGCAACTCCTCCAGTAATGTGGCTAAGACATTTACTTAGAAAACTGAGGAATCTTATTTTCAAGGTCAAGCTGAGGTTTCCTGGGTTCAGACTTAGAAATACTTAGTAAGGCCAAAGAAATATTTACTGGGTTCGAGGGAGCAGGGAGTAGATGTGTAACTTGAACATAATTCAAGTCATCCTGGGAGGTCTTTTTGTTTTTACATATCTGTGTCTCCTCAGACAACATTTTATTTTTTTTCCCCATGAAATTGGAAGAAATTGATGACATTTTTTGCCATTACATTTTAGTTAGGCCATTTCCTGCACTGAACAAGAGAACTTATTTATTTATACCCTTTCCAGAATGTATTTCTTTCCAGTGCATCACATGGAACCACATAGACAAATTTTGTCCAAGGACTGCCATCCCTTGTGTTAAACTAGAAGGATTTTCTGTATAAAGCAATGATTTTCTTTATGTGACCTCTGACAGTGGGAGTGTTGGAGGGCCAGTGGTAGGTGGGGCTTCACAGGCAGTCATAAATTAAGCAGCAACATTTTACAAACGAGCTCCATAATGAGTAAGTGATTAGAAGATGTGCTACTGCATGCTGGAGATTAACATCCAAACACAAAAACTACCACCTAGCCAAGGAATGGCAGTAGAAGGTTAAAAGAAATATTCAATATTATCAATCATACCAAAGGAGCTTGGGAGAATTAATGTGTTGGTGTCAAAAAGACTGAGAAGGAGCGAAATAGGACTACAGTGATTGCCAGAATCTTACTTGCCTGGAGAGATAACATTGGACATTCAGTTTAACTAGGCAGGTGCCAAGAATCCTCTTGTGATGCTATGGAGTGGCTTTCAAATATCAGAATGTACACTGACCCCCATCGTCTGGTACTTCCCATGGTTTCAGAATTGCTCATTAAGCCAGGGAAACCTCCAGTGAGGTGTGGTGACCTGAAAAAAGACGGGAGCTAAAGAATCAATGTTTTAAGTAAAACAGCAATTATAAAAAGATCTACAGCTCCTTCCATGTAATCAGGTAAATTAGCAGGAGTGGCATAAAGCACCTAAATTGGAGAAAGAGTGGAGAAAGGGGGAGTGGGGGGAAAAAGAAGGTCCCTTGGGAGATATCTGATAGGATGCTTAGTCTGTGTAGAGGGCAAAAGGTTAAGTGAAAATGAGATGAAGGAATGATCAGATATAGTCAGATCAGAGACAGTTAAATAAAGGAAAGTGCTAACCTAAGATAAATGTGGAGAAACGCCCTTGTGCTGAGTATGTTTGTGCGGCTGTTCTTCAGCATCTCAGGAGCAGGAGAGGAGCAATTGCCAGTTCCCAACCAACACCAGTCCTAGCTGAAGCACTTCCCAGCAAAGAAACAGAAGGGATAAGGATATAAACTAAACATTCCATCATCCTGCTATCCAGTAGAGTGAAAGGATATTAAAGGGCTTCTAATTGCATGACACTTTTTGCAGGTCCCTGTTTACTCTGGTGTGATAAAAATTATCCATAGTGATATAAATTATCCTTAGAGATGAGAAAGTCAGGCCTGTGACATCTGTGTTTTTGGTCAGTGAGAAAGATGTTGTACAAAGAACATTGAAACAAAAATACTGATAGTTACTTGAAAGCTCCAGACCTTGATGGTTGGCTAATGCTTTCCTGGGTCAAACAGCTTTCACTAGAAGGGGTTTCCATAATAACAACAACAAAAAAAAAAATCTGGTTGAAAGAGATGCATAATGTAGAAAACAAATGCTTGGAATACGTTATATGTGAAACTTCATCAACTATTTTGGTAAATCATTCTTAGAATATTCAGCAAAAAGGACCTGAGTTAATATATTGCACCAGGAAGCTCAAGAAATATCTGTAATGACCAAGCCTGGAAATAACCACAAGCATTTTGTTCATAAGCCTTTTGTGACTTACAGCCTTAGATTTCTAAATACCAGGGGGAGATACAAACTCTTACACACATAATTTAGAGCTCAGTCCATTTTTTGTTTTGTTTTGTTTTTGTTTTTGTTTTGTTTTGTTTTGTTTCCTCAGGAGCTTAATTAACATATACAAATAGACCTGGGAATTAGGAAGTTGGAGCTTGAACTCAACTGCTAGGTGCTAATACTTGGGAATACCCAAACAGGGTTCCTGAAAACAAATTTCTGTACTCTCCACAATTTGGTGCTACAGCCTTTTGAGGTGAGAGAAATTGTGTGTTCTCGACAAAGAGTTTGTTTAGCTGCAGAATTCCCCAAATCCAGATGGAGTGCAGTTGAGGAATGCTGCTGGCCCAGGTAGCCCGGCTCCAAACTGGAGACTGAGATGCAGATTGAGCTGTGCGGAGGCGAGAGGCCGTGAAGTGCCAGCCCTTGGGATAACAAAGGCATGAAGATGGGGGATGCCAGCCAGGTGAATGGACTGCGAGAGACACAGCAGGAGCCGGGAATCGCCGAGTTTTTGGTTAACAAAGGAGGCGGGTGAGGCCAGCGAGGTGATGGAAGCGGAGAGGGGCCGGGAGGCGAAGAGAGGTTTGCCTTCGGAGAGAAGGTGGGAGGACAGGAGCTATAAAAGTCCGGGCTTCCTTGGTTGGTGTCCTGGGAGGCAGCAGCTCGGGCTGCTCCGGTGTCGCTGTGCCGGGAATAAGCGCTTTTATTCGGAACGAGACATCCGAATGTGCTCCGGGAAAGCGCTGGGGGAGCCGGGAGCGGAGCCGCGGGACACGGCGGGGACACGGGCACCTCGGGGACACGGACACCTGAGGGGACACGGGCACCTGAGGGGACACGGGCACCTCGGGGACACGGGCACCTGAGGGGACACGGGCACCTTGGGGACACGGGCACCTGAGGGGACACGGGCACCTGAGGGGACACGGACACCTCGGGGACACCCCGCCCTTGGCACCGGCACTGCCGGGGCTCTCCTGACACTCTCCTCGCTCACACTGCGAGGTTTCCTCACCGCTTCTCATCTCCCACACTAACACACACCCCACACGTGTTTGTCAACTCTGAGCGACAATGAAAGAAGTCTGAGTCTGTAAATGAGGAGTTTCAAATGAAGGAGGTGGCGGAGGCATTTTGACCCTATTCAGTCAAGGTCAGGTTTCCCCTGAATTATACCTGTTTCCTTGTCTAACATTTTAGACACCTCCCGATTGTCTATCGACAGAGTTTATAAGTGGCATTACACAATGAAGAAGAAAGAAGGCTGCTCGCAGCTCCCCCTTTCCCCATGTGTTAAAAAGCAGAGTTCCAAAGAAGAGACAAAAGAGTGTTTGGGTCCCAGTTGTGTGCCTATGGGAAAGGAGTGGTGAAAAGAGGCCAGCAGCTCCTAGAAACAGCGAGGGGAGGGAAGAGCACAAATCAGCTTTATGAGCCAGCAAATGATGGATGGCTAAATGCCAACTTAGAGCAATGCATAGAATGGGGTTTGCATTGTTGCGATTATTAAAGGTTATTTTACTTTTAATTTTTTGTGGTAGGTGTCCTTACTTCTTCCTTACAGAAACCCTTGATTTTCACTTGCTACATACTTAGATGTGCTTGTCATACCCACAAGGTGATTTCAGTTCTCGGATGCCAGGAAACCTCTCTGCTGATCAAAACACAGCTGCACAGGCTCACTGGATCTATTCACGGGTGCCACACGACTGGGGTACGCCTGTCTATACCTGTGAAAATAGATGTAATTAATATCACAGATATAATACGTGCATGCAAATCCAGATGCTAAAAATGACTTATAGTAAGAGAAGGTTTCCATTTGCCAAACCATATGAAAGTATCTGAATCATTTAAGCAGAATACAATCTACACTTGGACTACTGTTGCTGCAGTGACATCAGCACCCTCTTAGTCTATTTTTTGTACAGTCGAGCTTGATTTTTAGTGAAAGATCCTAAGGAATACAATTTTAAAACATTTTTTAATTAGCTTTTTCCAGGCTGTCACCCCTGTGCGGCATTAAAAAGCTCTTTCCATCACCTCCCACGAGTTGATTTGACACAGGATGTCAGATAATAAGACTATATGAATTGCTATTCACTGGACACTGATCTTATGATTGGAACAATGAAGGAGCAACTCTATCCATTTGATATAAAATTCCTTCAGTGTAAGCAATGGAACAAAATATTCTCATAGATAACCCTTTCATTCATTACAGAAATGTGTATCAACTCCTTTAGTAACAAATAACAGTCAGTTTTTTCAGAATGCTTTATTAATAGATTTTGTATTACAGTTTTACCTTCTTCATTTTGACATTTATTTCTCCTTTAATGAGTCAAAATGCCTAGCCAAGAGCTCTTGGCTTTAAGTATGTCCTTAACATCAGCATATTAACTGCCACATCCAGGGTAATAGGCTTAACTTATCTCTTTGAGATCTTTGTGGAAAAAGAACCAAACACACCAATTTTAAAAAATTGTTGTAAATGGAAACTTCGACTTTAGTGGCACTGGAAAACAATAATGCTGCTTCATCATCATCTGAACATTCAGTTTTACAGTTTTCCTGCCAAATATCCCAAATATCTGTGATAAGTGCCTCTTCTCGTAATAAAAGATACTGAACAAAAAAGCAGTTCAACTGAGATTTTGAAGTCTTGATTTGCAACAGTCCATTCTGAACCCTTCATTTTATTTCTTTTTGTATTGTGCAGGCAAACAATAGTTGTTGCTTTCGTCATGAGCTCAAGCAGTACATTTCAGCAGACTGAGCTTAAGCACATGCAGATGGGTGTAACACCAATTTTTTAAAGGATATTATAAATCCATCTGTAAGCAAATTAATGTAAGAACAAAAGAGCATTTTTTTCATAATCGTGGGTAATTCTGAGCAAAGTTTCAATGGTTCCTCCCAGAAATCTAGATGAAACAATTGCAGGTTTTGATTTTTTTTTTTAATTATGACTCTTAAATCACATCAGTATGAGTCCCATTATCAATGCAAGACAAAACCAACTGCAATAGATTTTTCTGCACATCCCCTGATTTTGTCTGCTGGCAGAAGGGTCCATGCACAGGTTGTCTGTGCATTTACTCTGCTCATTGCTGTCTGAAGGGCCATTTCTACCTTTCTCAGTGACACAGGGCCAAAGCTCACAGCTCACCTGAGTGTGCCTTGCTGGCTGAGAGGTACCTGTGGCAGAGAAACTGAATGCACCCCTGAAGATTGGGTCCACTGAAGTGTTTCTTTATTCAAGATGTCTTTTAGTTGTTGTGGTATTTCTGACTTTTTTCTTGTGAAATCAGGAGATAGTGTTAGCTTGCTTCCCTGTTGCCTGTATGAGGAAGTAAGAGAAAAAATTATAAATTCATTTAAAAGCAAATTAAATAATTCCATCTTCCTGCCTGATTTGACATTTTCAATTTCTCAGTTTCTCTGATGAATGACCCAGCTCTTCCTAGGAATATGCGCTGCTTAAATGGTGGACATATGCTACAATAATAACAATTACAAATAATTACTCTAATGTGGTGAATGAGTAAAGCCAATTAGTTGATGTGATGATGTTTCCATGACAAACTCCAGCTTTATGGAGTTGTTCATTTTTAAGTCTAACAGCTTTCTGATATCCTTTGTCAGGCAACAGTGTGACTTGACTATCTCAATTCAGAAATCTGTCCTGACAGATGCATAAAGTCATGGACTGTGCTCCTACTTAAATCAGAATTTCAACAAACACCTAATGCAGAATTAAGTTTAGGCTTAAACTGTAAAGACATAGTCATAATAAAGCAGATTTCCTGATGAACACTTATTAAATTATTTCCTTGTCTATTTCCTGGGGAAACTTTAAAATAGAAATGTTGGTGTGCACATGTACTTAGTTACACATTGTCAATTCAAACTCTGGTTCAGGACAACACTTCAGCCTTTTGTTAACCTCATTAACCTCAGACATCAAAAACAATAGACTTGCAGATATGTCTAAATTTAAACTTAACTATCATTCAGAATAGAAATGTTTTACTGAACTGAGGGTTAAACTGAAGGGATGCTCTTAATCCACACAGGACAGAACTTGCTGAAGTAATATGTATATTATACTGTGTACATGAGACTAATGACTATGACTTGGTGTCATAATGTTATTCTTGGAATGAAATATCTCTAAACCTAATTCTTAATGCTCTCAGACCAGACACTTTGGTTTTTAAATTTTGCATTTGATTTTCTTTCTTTCTGCAACACAACTGTGGAGAGAAAGGAATTCAAGAATCACGCAGCAGACCAGTAGTACACTTTTCAAGTCTACTGACAAAAAAATCCACAGGTCCACTGAAATAACAGGCACCAACATGTTTGTGATGTCTCACATACTTCTGTACCATATTCTGTTAGTAGGCATGGATGATTTTCATCCACTGTGGTATAAAGACACATTAATACTAAACCTGGGCTTACCCCACACTTTCCACTCTGCAGCTGACCTGTGATAACTCTTTGCTGACAGAGAGAGGAAGTCAGAAGCAGTAATGATCCAGAAGTCTTCCAGACTTCCTGCAGGGGCAATGTTTCCACAGTCAAAGATTTTCAGAGGAGGGATCAGTGCTTTGTTAAGTTAGGGACTTAACACAGGAAAATGTCTGAGGAAGTTACAAACCAAAAGCATGGCTATTTTTTGTAGAACTCCTGACCAGACACAACCACCAAGTGACCAGAGTTCTGTACTGGACGTTGACTTACCAAAATGTTTCTCCACACGCATTTACTGCTTCTTGAGCCCATCAACACTTTTCTGGAGGAGCAGCCTCCCCAGCCATTGGTCCCCTGGGCTGACTTGAAGGCCTGGCTGTATGGAGGTACTCTCTGCCATACAGCTGTCCCTGCTGCCTGGTGTCTCTGCAACAGGCACATCAGCGCTGCTGCTCAGGCTCACAACAGTGCCACGTGCTCAGAGATTCTTCACTCATGTTTGAGCAACAGTGATATCACTGCCAGAGTATGTCAGTAACTGACATCTTGGAAACAGAGGAGGAAGGGAGACAGGCTGGAAATGCCAAGATTAAATAAAACCAATATGAGTATTCTTATCACCTTTTGACAAAGGCTGCAGGAATTTAGAAACAGTGCAGTGCAGCTCTGCTGATTTGGTAGCTCAGTGAGTTATGTCAGTATAAATGGTGTCTTGGAGTATTAACAAAAGGCACCAGACTGGGAACTTCTAGTTAAGTACTGATAGTTAGGTTGGAGAATAGAGTCCTGCAGGTATTTTGGCAAGTCAAAATTTTACACAGTTAACACACACTGCATAAAATATTGGGCTTTAAGTTGTGGGATTTTTATGTTTGTTTTCAGACTCAAATTTTCAAATATTTGACAAGTTCCTAAACTGCTTGCAAAAATCCCCAAGTCACAACCCAGTCGGATAAAAATCTATTCATTGTAAAAAGGGAAGGGTAGGGAAGGAAAGGTTTGTTGATAAGTTTGCTGCACTATTAAAACATTTAACCACAGCCTGGAGCTCAAATCAGCATTCGTGTGAAGTTCCTATTTATTAGAGTATGTGAAAAGTATTCATCAAAATCATGTCTTGTTTTTGAAAAGGATGCACCCCAGTAATTATGGTGCAAGAGTAAATTCATTTCTTGTGAATATGAAAAAGTAAGTGATAAACACTGTTAGGAACTGCTCTCTGGCCCATTTAAAGAACATACTTCTTTTCAAAATAAACATTAAAATAACAGTAGAGAAAGGATGAGGGAGAAATCATAGAGGAATTTATCACACTGAATCTAGGTCCACACTGACTCGTCTAAATCTATAAAAAGAAAAAGGACTGCAAGTGGCTCTGAAAGTGATGGGAACCCATGCTTCACACACATGTCTTGAAAGAATGTCAGAAATCTCGTTCCCCTTTTGGCTGCGGTTACAGATGCTTTCTCTGGACTGCGGGCTCACCAGTTTCACTTGTCTGCAGCACTCAAAAATACATTTTCCCCTGGAAGACAGTCTGCATATGCTTACAGTAAACATTAACCAAATCAAATGACTTTCACTTTGGGATAAATACTTTCAAGTAAGTCTGTTAGCGACACTCATGGTAAATTGCTAATAATTAGTTTTTCCAATCTACTTGGGTTGTACTAACGAACACAATCAGTCCTAACATGTTTACACGCAGGATAAATCCTGCCTCCCTCCATGTGTCCATGGAAGGCCCAAGGTAAGGTGGATATATTCTGCTGCAGGAACACACGAGAGCCCCTTTAGGTCAGGTGGGTGATCCTGCTGGTTTTGTGTGTCTAAACTCTGCTGGCTGCACAAGAGCCGCCTGTTCACCATGGACATCTGTCCTGGTGTTGGGGCTGGAGCAGGGTAAAGTCTGCACTTTCTTGGCCACAAAATATGTAACTTACAAAACACAGAAACTCTCAGCTCTGCAAAGCCAATGAAACCACATTTTCCTATAACTGTGGCTTCCCCTTTTTGCAGGCTACCCGCTTGTAATGGCTTGTTGTAAATTACACAGTGGTATCTCTAGAGATGGGAAAATCTGTTTTTTGTGCTTGTGAACATAACCCAACATGAAGTGGTCCTGTAATGGGACATTTCAGGGTCTTACTGGAAGGACAACAGTCATACCAATACCTCTCAGCACCCTTCTGTTTAGCCAAAATACAGAACTATGGATTAGAATTATGTCTCTACCATAATTAAAATAACCCCAAAACTGTTACCTTCAGCAATTTGGTTACTGGAAAATCCCTAGATACCGCTGAGCAAATCTCCCGGTGATTTGTTCCACCAAGTCCCAAATAGTTCTGAAATGCAATCCAATTGGTATTACAAATTATCTGCCCTATTTTTGTGTAATTTTCTTAACAACTCCAAATACTTACAGAAGCACTGCAGCAGACCATAAGACCCTGCTCTGGCTGAGAAATCTGCATGCATTGCATAAAATGTATGATTCTACAACTCATTAAGTCTAATTTATGGCATATGTAATTAAGCACCTTTGAATTGAACCTAGGTCTCTAGAGATAATAACACTTAGAACTTATATAGGGCTTTTCATCTTCAAAGTGCTTTACAAACATTAACTAATTAACAACATAATAAGACATGAAAGGCGAAAGTACTTACCCATAGTGCTGCATAGCCTCTGTATAATTCAGATTTTGATGCTTTTCAGTGCAAGATCCAGTCTGGGTGCACAGAGATTTACAGTGGTCCCCTTCACAATCAGAAAATGACTGTGCACATCATATCTGTGAATTCCCAGAGCCCATCTCTTCTCTGCTATTTATTGCTGAGTCAGATGAAGCAGCTCCTGAATGTGAAGGAAAATATGGAAAATGACATCTCAAGGCAGTTTGAGGGTGCATGAGTTTTCAGGGCTTTGGAGGCACAGTAATGGGGCATAATGTAGAAAGGGGTTCCTGGAGAATCCACTGCACAAGATTTCTGCTATTACCTAAGTCCAGTATCCTTCCCAAGAGAAATCTAATAATTACACAAAGTCTCTTGAGATTGGCTAAAAGACTGGGGAGAAGGCCTTATTTCAGCTCAAATACATTTTCCTGCAAACTCTACAATATTTTTTCTTCATTTCTGCTCTTCTGAAAAGTTTGAACTATCTAGCCAGCATGTTTGTTAGTTTTTGGGTTTTTTTAATCACTTGGTCTAATTTACACATGATCTCTTGAGACAGTGGATCTCGAGACAGCCTTATTATCTGAACGAATGTTTTCTTGGTGATGGCAATGTTGCAGATGTTGTATCAGGTTTCTTGAATCTCCCCTAAACATTCCTAATGCAGAAAGTTGATGGATAAAATAAAAGGGGAACAATTAATCCCGATAGTTTTAGTGACCCATCCTTCAGACATCAGCCTGTGTCAGAGATCATTTTCCTGAGCACAGAACGCTGCCCATTGTCTGTGCACATGCTGTGCTTGAGCATCACCTGTTCACCAGCCAGGATAATGGCTGTGGGGGCAGGATCTCTCGTCTCTGCCCAGACAATGCCTGCCTCTGTCCCCGTGGGGATTCTGCAGGGCCCCAAAAGCTGAGTTTGGGGACCAGTGGAAAAGCATGGCAAGTATATAAGGCAGAACAACACACATGTACCTGCCTAACTCTGCACACCAAAAATATCTCAGACACAAACACAGATGACTCAGCAGCAGCAGTGCAGGTGGAGCCCCATCAGAAATTAAAGAAAACGAGACATACCATGGATCAGAAAATAACATGTCTGTGGAACCAGTAGGCTTTTGTGCTCCCCACAGACACACAGTCCAGAACAAATCCTGAAAGGTAACAATCTCACAGTAGCAATGCCTACAAGAGATCCTACGATAAACATAGGGTCTAATCAAATGCATTACGATTTTTAAATGCAAATGTAGAATAGAACTGTCAAAATGTTTTATCCCTAAATTGTGAGTGCTAACCTTCCCATACTTATTATATAGCAGTACATTTTAATTTGCCTGGAGCAGAGTTGAATAAAGCAAGCATCACAAACACAATCAAATGGATATTTGAAAGAACTGCTCCTCACAATAGCTGTGTGTCTGAGCAAAGCTTCAAATGTTGATCAATTGATTACCAAAATCAAAGAATACATTTCCCAAATGAGCTTCTGTAAAGCACTCAATAGGACCAGAGAAAACCAGCATAAAGTTCTGCAGAACAGCAGTTTTCTCTAAAATATTTACAAGTGCAACTTTCTACTGCTTTCCTGGTTTATAACTTAGATCTGCACAGATCAAGAATGAAGAATAAAACACTTCTGATAAATCAATGGCTTAATTCAGTTTCAGTGTGGCAAATTCAGTCAAATAAAGACAGAAAACAATATGAAGTTATCCAAAGGTAAACTTTAAATCTTATGTGCATTGCAAATCAGTCTCACTGGCAAAATTGCTCAATTGATTTTTTAAATCTTTAATAAAAAAAAAATAATGGCAAAAATATAAAATCAAGCATAACTAGTGTTCTGTCCATCTGCCATCTCCGATGAGCTGGTTTCTGCTGTGCCATGCTGCTGTACTTGTATTTTTTTGCCTTTCTTCAGTCAGTCATGTTTGCAGAACTGCTGTCCACCAAATGCACATGGTTTTTTGCTCACTGACTTTAATCTGAAAAATGGGATGAAAAAAGGAAAACTAACTTTCAACCTGAAACAAAATTATTTGCTTAAGCTTTCATATATTTTATCCTCCTTTTAAAGGCAGGTTTTCTTGTATGACGTCTTCCAGAGGCTTCACCTATTATACTGTGCTGTCCTCACCATGGTGAAACCTGAGCTGGGGTGAAAATTCTTCAATATGATCCCTCTGTAGAGCAAAATTCAGAGTTGTTCACAAGCAAATAAGTTCTCAGCACCATTGTCTTTACTCCTCCATCTCTGGAAGAGGCATTTGTCCTGAAGAACATAACGGGATTTTGTCCCTGTCGTGTGGCTACTGCCTTAGTCTGGAAGTTTATAAGGGAAAAACCTGAAGGATCAAACCCATTCTTTTGACTTAAATAAAATTTTTGCTTAGCAACATCTTAAAATATCGATTGAAAACCCTCAACTTTCAAAGTTTCTGACACTTGATATTGAGGTTCTGACTCTCCTAGATTTGATAGCACTTAGTCTTTGCCATGAGCTGTTGCTTTACTAAGGAGAAAAGCCCCACCCACACCACATTACACTCTCACTACTCCCTAGAGTAACAGAGATTACACTGATCTGCAGGATTTTTCTCTTTTCTAAACAAATACCTTTCTGGAGCAAGCCTCTATGCTGAAATCCTCTTGGGTAAACAGAGAGCACTCCAGGACTTACTGCATGTTAAGTGAGCGAACAAATATTTAGCCTTATGACGCTTAGGTGCCTGATTCTCTATCTGTACCTTTCTTTCGTCTTCCACCTGGAAAAGAAGCATGGCTGAAGGAACCTGACAGGAAAAGGAAAAAAGCATTGAGAAAAGGACAGGAACGGTGGCTGGCCAATGTTAATAGAGAAACCAGAAATATGGGAGATCAAAAAGTTATAAGGAAGGGATATTTTGTCTCTTCTTATACCTTTGCAGATCATTTCAGCAGAGCTTTGTTTCACTTTAACAAATCAGGATTTCTCTCCTATTGCCCTGTGCACAGAGGTAAGGAGGACTTTGAAGGATCACAAAGACAACACAGAAAACTTCCCATCATTCTGTATGTCCTCAAGGTGCCCAGGCAGAGGCCTCAGTTTCTGCCTCTCACTGGTATTTGCTATTTTCCCAAACTCTTACCAGGAACATTCACTCTTACAGTGGCAGGGAGAGTAACATTTTATTCTACTTTGTCCTTGTTTGCCAGTTAATGAAAGATTTTGTGAGGTAAAAAACAGATATTTTTTTTTTTCTTCCAGTGCTGTTATTCCCATAATGCACATGGACTTTTTGATCCTCCACCTCTGTATCATGTCATCCTTCAGTATCTCAGCTCCTAAGCTCAGGAGGAAACAGCAGCAATTCTGCCTCTGGACCTTATTCTGATGTAGGTCTGCTAATCAATCACATGAATACCCTTAGCCTTACAGGTGATTTAATGGTGTCATTAATCCCATTTTAATTCTAAAGAACTGAGGCACACAGTAATTGCTTGGACAGGAGGCTAGGCACCAAACTCAGATTTCTTGTTAAACTCTTCCAAAGTTCATTCATTTTCTGATACTTCAGTTTTTTTCTTTTTGCTCTAAAGTATTTGCAGAACAGGCACAAAAGGTATCAGAGCAAAAAACCAAGTCAATGAAAGCAATTAAATGAAAGTATTTAAATAACTAATGGTTTTTCTTCTTCCATATGACTCTTTCTATACAAGAAGGCGAGATGAGGTTCTCCCTGTGCTAGCAGATAGCTGCAGCTCTGCAGAGTTACTGAAGTGCTAATATTGATCAGACAAGATGGAGCATGTTACTGAGGCAATTGGTCAGGCTAAAGCAGTGATGGCAGCACATGGCATGTTATGGATGGCTGAAGTAGCTGAGGACATCTATCTTTCTGTCTATCTACCTGCTTTCCAAGATGTCTATCATCATTGAACTTCGCTACCAAGAAACAAGGGCAGCACTTAATCATCAATAGATAAATACTGTTTATGCCATTAATTGGGGAATGGGTCATTTTCCTTGTTTGTACCTTTGCTGCTCTTTTTTTTTTTTTTTTTTTTTTTTTTTTTTTTTTTTTTTCTTTTTTTTTTTAGCTCCACAGTTGTGAGACAGTAGCATTTTCTCACAGCCTGTATGTGTTGTTCTGGGACTTGTGTCAGTAGCAACAGCACAGCTCTGTGTGTCTGCCAGGGCTCATTCAATGGAGCTCCTTTCCAGAAAAACAAGATAGCCAACAAATGAGGGCTACAAAACTTCAAACCCCGCACCTTTTCATAATGTCTGTGCCATGGTTTGGAAGCAGCAGTGGTGTGAGCAGTCTCTGCACCTGCCCCATACAGCCACAAGTGTCTGAATAGCAAAGGGAGTTTCCCAAGTAATACCTGCTGTAAACCCACAACTTCCACACTTGCATTTTCTCTATAGTTAGTATTCAGCAAAGACACTGCAACAGTGCAGGGCTGTGTGTTTGCTGGCATTTTTCTCGTTCAAAGCTTTTGAGAACACTTTACTGAGGCATATAATGCTGCCTTGAAATTGGCTTCTAAACCACATTTTGAGAAGATGAAACACAGGCTCTTGGCTGGGTGTTTTTGCCCTGTGCCATGGCTTGCTTGAGGCAGAAAAGCACCCCATCTCCCCTTTCCAAATCTTTCAGCTCAAGTCTCATCAGTCTGGCTGTGATCATGAGATTCCTCTCTAATATAATAATTTCTCTCTTTTTTTTTTTCTTCCCCCCTCCCCTAATTTTTACATTACTAATTACAAGCTCTGGTATATAGATTTCCCCCTTTAAGATTTAGACTCTTACATGGTTTTAAACTTCAAGGAGAATTCATTTATCATTACAGAGCATTACATTAAAGACCACCTTCCTGGGGTAACGTTTGGAGTAATCATTGTGCCCTCTTGTTTTTATCTGAAGTCTTCCAAAAGGAGAGTTAGTTAGTCTAAATTAGGCAATGCAGTTTTTGCCTTGACATTTGGGAGGTCAAATTTTGCCTGTGACTGTCAACCTCTCAGAAGAGGAGATGGCATTTGGAGTAATCCAAAACTCCTGCAGAGTTACATTACTGTGGCAGCCAGATGAGTAAATCTAGGCTGAAGATCTATTGGTTCAATTACTGCTTGGGGTCAGGACATGCCATAAATTATTAGATATGCAAATGGAAAACTCTGACTGTTGATGAAAGAAAGATGGATGGACTTCTTAAATACTCATAATTACTGCAAAGACTAACTATATAAACTGATGTATAGGTATTTGTGTGAAAAAGACTTCTGTTCTTAAATGTTACCTGTGTGTAGGCAAAAATAATTACTTTTTTTTTGTTTTACATGCACGTCATATTTTAAAAATAAACCTAGGAAATAATTTGGAAGTGTGTTTTGAACTTCTTCTGCAAAGCCCCTTGATTTTTGGAAGCAGATTCAGCCCAGTTCAGAAGAAGGTAATTCTCATTCTGTTCTCACTTACCCTGGGGTAAATCTGCAGCAGTGCCCTGCATTCTGTGAACACACACTGACAGTGTATTTGGGAGGAGAACTATTTCCTTTGCCTGTGGAGGTAGTGTGGAAAGAATGCCACAGAGCAGCTGAGGTTTGTGTATCTGCTGGAGAGTGAATGAGCTGGCACATGATAACTTGACCTTATCACAACATGAACTCTGTAGCATTGCAACAGATTTTTGTGGATAGGAAAATAAAATGCAAATAAGTCATTACTCTACATCTGTTTTTGCTGTCATTTAAATACTTTATGGTCTTATTTCTCAGTGTGAATAAATTTGGAAGCACTTGCCCCTACTTTAGTCATGTAGGAAGTTTGCTACATCTGTAAAAACTTGTTGAATTTCTCTTGCAGATTCTCTCTTTTGAGAGAGAAGTTTTTACTACATGTAAGACAAAATGATTGTGAGAGTGAGAATAACGTGAGCTGTTCAACGCCACCTGCTGCTGCAAGGGGAAATATATTCCCAGAGGCACCTTGGCTGAGCAGGAACAGATACACAAGCACCGGGAAGCTTGTTCTGCTCGAGAGTAAGTTTGCAGAAATACATCACAAGGCATGAGGGGATGCACTTTCCCAAAACTGATGCTGATTTTCCCAGGCAGTATGTGCAAGCCCAGGGAGTTTCTAAAGGATATACAGCATCACTCCCTGGCTTATAACTTCCAAATAATTTTCATTTCTGTCACTCTGGATGGAATGTTTTTCAAAACTACTACAGGCTTTCTGAAAGCTCCTATTCACTGCCTAAATATAAATCTCTTGGCCGCAGCTCTTGCTGTCATTATTATTATTTTAATAAGAGTTCACATGGTGGGGTTTGAAAACTAGACAGTAAATTAAAAGTTACTCAAGTATTCTTCAAGTAGAGATCAGAAATTAGCTCCTAACATACAGTTTATATAACAGAAAAGTAATTAGGAAATACATTTTTGCTATTTATAATGTATACCAGTTTGAGACAGAAATATTATTTGTTTATGCAGGTATAGAACCAGCAGAAGCAACCTGCAGCTCACCTTTTGTACTTTTGAGAGTGTTGGAAGCCAGTGATGTTTTATGGGTAAGAGTGATGTTTTGAGTGGTGGTCGAACTGAGATGATCTCATTCCAGTGTGACACCAAGGTAATTTGGGAACAGCCCCTTGAAGCCAACAAAACTGTACAGGGAAAATCATAAAAATGAGAATAAACAATCTGGTTTTAAATCTTTTCCTATAAAATTCTAACAATCATTTTAAGTTTGCAAGAAGGTTACAAGAAACAGCTCAATATGTATAATTTATAATTTCTCCGTAGAAGCAGTAGTAATAAGGAAAAAAAGGTATAACTCTGAAAGTGTTCAGAAAAGGGTTTATTTAAAATGTTATTGCTAAAAATGTGTTTTTTTAAATATTCATTTTAATCTTATTAGTTCTGCTCTGAACCAATCATGAAAGTACAAAGTTCAACCAGCATTCTATTAACGAGATAAAGTGCTCAAAAATGGATAAAATTTAAGATTTCTCTTTCTACCTGAAATAAAGAAGAAAAATAAGGAAAGCATAAGCAATAACAAACAGCATACCTTAGTATATATTAAAAAAATTCTATATGTGTATGACATAATTTGTGAAAAAGGAATCAAGGAAAATTCCTGCATGAGGAAGTGAAGAACTGAATTAATTCCACTTTTTGTATGACTTCTAAACAAGTGTAAATTCTCCTTATTGAAGTTCCAGTCTTTGGTGTTCTAATAAGTCTGGTCACTTGGTACAAGTTTGGATCTTTTTCTGTAGGTTTTAGGAAAGAAGTATGTTAATTTTACACAAACGTTGCTTTAAACTTACAAGAAAGAAAGATGCTGTAGAAGTTTAGCACCATGTTTGTACTCTTAAGTATTCTTTATTTCTATACCTCATTTCCCTGTTGTGACAGTCACTTAGTAAATTTCAATTAGGTTTGCTACATATAACTGCAATTTTGCAACAATAAAAAAACATATTTTTCAGTAGCTATAATAATTTGTGGAAGAAAAAGTTCTCTACCAAACCTTCTGGACTTGCATAAAAATGTGGTTTATTGATTAGCTGGTAAATAGTTTTCTAATGTTGTCATGATTTTAGTTCTATGAAATGGCAGAATGGGCACATTCTACCAGCTTTAGTCTCATTCACGTGCAGAGATTTTTTTAGATGGTACTCAGAAAGGGAATCCTTCACAGCTAACTCCAAGTACATTTTACTGTCTGGCCCCCTCCCTTCAGTTTGCTCATAGCCAATGACAAAATAATTATAATATATTGGACGTGCTGTTTCTTCTTTTATTGCTTTCTTCTTTACTGCCTTACCAGAAAGTTTGTAGCTAAAACAATTTTTACAGCTTTAAAGAATGAAAGCAAATTCATATTTCTAGAACTTCAGCCAGAAGTAACTATATTTTCAGCAGCTGAATTTTCATTAAAGTTTACAAAAGACCTCTGCCTTCACTGATTTATTGTTGCATTAGGTAAAACTACCCAGAGTGTATAAAATACGGTGTTACTGCACTTATTGTCTGATCTAACATGTTATCAGTGATTGCAAGTACATTTTATAACCCCAGCTGCTGAATCGAAAAAAAGGTGATACAAGCATCAATCTCCAGGATAAAATCAGAGCTCCTTCTACCACGCTTTGACCTTACTGATGCCTTTGGATAGTCTTACTTGTCTAAGTCCTTGCAACAATTACCAGGGGACGGTTAGAAAATGCAGCTTTAATGGTGCAGATTGAAATTGTTAACAGCATCAGAGACTCACACACAAACCCCAAAGATTTCCAAGCACAGGAAAAATTTGAGGAAACTCTTGATGCCACTGGAGGAAAGAAATGGAACAGGGCTGTAGACACGAGGCACAGATTTTATTTATACTCTTTATTGTCTGCATCCCTGAACTCCACAGTGTCATTAGCAAATGGAGAAAGCTATAAATACAAAACTTAGACCTCAAGATACAGTTAACTCCAGCTGTAGCTGCCAAATCTTATTTATAGCATGAGGAGACACAGATAATTACAGGTCACAAAAATGTTAATTTCTGTCATAATACAAGTAATAGTCTAAGAATGAAAAAGCTTCTTTTTTGGACTGAAATGATTTCCTCTACAGAAGTCTGTTAATTTGAAATATCATCTCTGTTTGTAGAGTATGGAACAGGCAAAGAAAGGATAAATGTGCCTTATCAATCTATTTCATGGTTCTTAAAATAATAATATTCAAATTAAAATACTAAATCACATCAATTTTTCCAAAGGCAAAGTACTTTAGGTAAATAAAAACTAGAGATGAACAGAAAAGACTATTTCGAGCAGTTTGACTGTTTGAGTTGTAGCTGCTTATTATTAACATTAAATAAAATTTGAATCAGTATTTTTAAGATGTTAAATCCTCATGACCTGAAAGTGAATAAAAAGGTCCACTTTGTGAACAAACTTAACTGTTTTTCCCAAGCAAAGAATCACCAATCATTTCAATGATTCTGAAGTACACGGGATAAGTATTAAGACAAACATTATATGAAGGATGGAGTTAATTATGCTGCGTATAATCAGACACTGGTCACTCCACAAGTTGTAATTTATTTTCCCCTTATTTGCATTTAACTTCAAAGGTATTTCAGGAAATGTAAAATAACATGATTTGAGCAGTTACAAAGATGATACGCATTTAACTTCAAAACTCTGTTTCAAACTCTTAAAAATAAATGACATACAATTTCAGGAAATAACACACCATTCTCATGCAACCTGTAATTGTTGCCTCAAAAATAGAAAACTCATTTTTGTAGGGGGAAATATCACAATTTAGGGCAACAGTAATCATCTGGCAGGTCTTATGGAGATACAAGGAAACAGTTGGGTAATCTGCATCAGTATGTTAATCTAAATTTATAGTAGAGTCTGTTTGGTCAAAATGGTCATATGACTGTAACTTCATATGGAAAATTAGCAGACTGGTTTGAATTAATATGCAAACCCTACCATAGAGCAAACAGTGTCTTCAGTAAAATGGGGAGGGCTGCAGACTTCTACAGCTTGTATTTATCACCACAACTTTGTTTCTTTATCTTTTCCTTTTCTTTTTTTTTTTTCTTTTTTTTTTTTTTTTTATTTTGCAGTGGGAGCTTCTTTTGAGTTTGAGTCCTTTGGACAGGTTTACAATCCTAAGAAGATATCTAAAATTCCAGCATCTAGGTCAGTACTGAGCTTTCTAAATACTTAACAAACATCTTTTTGTATCCCTTCATGTCAGATTTAATTGTCCATGGTGAAAGGAAGTGCTAATCAGAATTCAAGAGAAGTACTCTAAGACATGTATTTTTCCAACCTGGGAAAGGAATGATCCTGGGAAAAGCATATAAGGAAAAAAACAAGTTTGCATCTTATTCAAAGCATCAAAATGAATTAAATTATTTTAAAGTGTCATTATTAACTACTGTATGGCTTTTACACAACAACTCTGTATGACTGAGGTGCACTGAGGTACACTGAGGGAAAATCAGTTCACAAATACCTTACTTCTTTCAGAATCTGGCCTGGGAGGATGGTATTTGAGAAGCATTAAATCATTCACTGCTTTTACAAAGTTATTTTAGTAGCTTTGAAAAAGATCTCTCTTCTATTCTCTGTTCCATGGTTTCCCCAAATATTTCTAATATCTCTGTAGTTGCCCACCACAGCTGGCCAGCAACTCTTGTGGGGTTAAGAGAAACACAGACTTGTGGTGCACTGGCTTAAACTGCTTCTTCCCAGCAGCAACGTGCCCAGAGTAACTCCAGCTGTGGAGTTCACCACACTGATACCAAGGCTGAAAAATAATAAAGATCCACACCCCCAGCTGAGAAGGTGCCTGCAGCTACCAACGGCTTTGGGGTAACTCACACCAGGACCAGCCACATCAGAGTCAGAACCCTTAGCTCTTCCTAAGCTGGTGTCCTCCCTAGGGCTGCTTCCTTCTGGGAACCAGGCGTGGCTGTGTGCAGGTTAGAGTTAGTCCAAGTCCAAGCTGAGTGTAAGCACCTCTGTAAGCCATCCAGGAAAGCCTGGGACCACTGAAGCCAGCAGAAGCTTTCCAGTTGTTTTTAATGATGCTCTGATGTCCCCAGAGGGAACAGTTCTTTGTATGTTTCTTAGGTCCACATTTGATCTGCAGATCCTTTGCAACTGAGAGCTCTCTTAGGTTGTTTTTGTGGTCCTATCTAAATGATGATAATGCACTTCTAACTGAATATTATTTGCTAGAATTATCTGTCATATGAAAAGTATTAAAGTTTCTTTTCATAGCTGATGTAAACTTTCATCTGGAAATAGAGACCTTTAAGAAATTTTCTGCACAAAATGCATTAGGATCTTTGAAAAGTTTTATAAAAGTGTAAATGTAATCTACAAAAACTACGACAGATTCTGTTCAGAGCAGTCTTGCAAGCAGGAGGCTTGTGGCACTGCATTTGCAGCAGTGGTGGTTGTGCAGCTGGGTAGGGACAAAGAGGAAGGCAAGGTCCTCGCCTGGCAGAGCTGACAACTTCAATCGGGGTGACACTCTAACACGGAGTGACAGCGGTGGCGTTCACAGGGTAGGAAGGGCAGCAGCAAACAAAGATCGGGGGAAAAGTGATTTGCAAGAGCACTGTTATGAAGGACCCAGAGGAGCACACTCTTGCAATACCTTAAGGTTGGTTTGTTTGCTTTTTCATTTCAGGAGTACCAAATTCAGATGTGACTGCCCAGTTATCAGCAAGCTGATGCAAAGAACAAGAATTTTGGTTTGGAATGGAAAATGACTGAGCAGGAGGACAGGAAGAGCATCTGGTAGAAAAAGCATAGGGAGGAAGTACCTAGAACAGCAGCATTTTCTCCCAGGCCTGATTACATCTGTAAAATATCAAAGCATCCTAAATGAAGTGCTGTTGGGCAAGTGCTTGGGAGAGACAGGGATGGGTAGGAATGGCAGCAATACAAGTGCATACCTATCTTAATGAAGTCTCACACCATGTTTGCAACAGCCCTTCAGAGAAATCATAGCACACCATTCTTAGAAAGCCAGTTTGGCACAGCCTCTCCATATGTAGGAAACCACTCCTGTGATCTCCTGCAGGTATAGGAGTGAAATTATCTGCTGCAGTAAATTCACAAGTTTAACA